GGCCCCCCCCCCCCCCAAAAAAAAAAAAACCCACAAAAAAAAACAACGCGCTAAAGTTGTTCATTAATTTTTTTTACTTATTCCTTTATCCTCAATTTGTACATGTATCACAGCTCACACTTTAAATCCAAGTGTCAAAAAAATACCCCCACCCCCTCCCCTTGGTTGTCCCACACTGGTTAAGTCCCGAAAACACCTTGACCAATGCGACCAGTGTGAATGAACTTTGTTGACCTTGACAACCGACGGTCCCCGACACACGCACTACTCACACGTAGGAGGTCATGTCACGTGATGCGAACGCGAACGTTTGAAAGTTTCACTGACAGGTCTTGATGATGGGCCCTAGTAACCAGAACTCGGACAAAGCTTTCTTTTAAAGCAACGGAAGAACAATGAATAGATTATTTTAGTCCTTTTATAATTGCTACAGTAGTCAGGCCATTATTGGAGAATTCTGTGTAACAAGCAAAAGAAGTCAAGATCATGAAGGGAGCGAAGCATTTACCGTGCACCTAGCTCAAGGGGCCCCCGAAACTAAGCACCCGGTTACCGTGCATGAAGATACTGAGACTCCGTGCTCGGTTAACATGTACACATAGACACTCCGTTTTTGGTGTGTTTTACAGCGCTCGCAACTGCATAAAATAAGGTCATTTAGATCTAGATCTGTATGAATCTTAATATAGGAGTATGGTGAGCGCGTGGGACACACTGAACATTATCAGTTGGCAGGAGATTTTGAATTTTCCCCGGATGGCGGCCAAAGCCTAGATCTACTCTTATCGAGTTTGGACCACCAAGGGATCTTTAACGTGCCAACTTTCACACGGGACCCCCGAGATTTTTCTACCTTGTCTGAGAAGGCTAGGTGTAGATCTAATTTCCTACCCTAAGACAATAAGATCAGGGGTGTTTCTGAAAGACAGCAGTAAGAAGGAGCCAAGGAGTAGCAGTAAAAAGGCTGCAGAAAGAGTCAGGAGCCCAGAGGAGGGGGCAAAGGAGGAGAAGGGGTGGGGGCAGAAAGTGGAGAGGAAAGCAGACGACAGAACATTGTTAGAGAGCAGGAAACGGGATGTGAAAGGAGAAAATATTACACAAGAACATTTTCCGTCGCTATTCGGATTCGAATACGGGACCTAAATTTGAATGAGGGGCAAACACCTTAACTCTTTATCTCAGGCAAACCGCTGCCCCCGGCTTGGGCACATTCCTTTACAACGACTTCGACATCAAGTTACTTTTCGGCAATTGCCGAAAACAGGCCTCTTATACTGGTGGTTCATTCATTAGTTCAACTGTCAAAATAGGTTTGCTAGTTTCGATTTAATGACCCATTTAATGACGTTTTTGTGTTTTTTAGATTTAGCACCAACAAAGGGCCTCGGCGTTGTGGGTTTACCCCCCTCGGAGATAAAGGGTTACCTCTAAGCCATGAGAGCCTCCTTGGATATGTCTAAATCTTTCAAGCAGAGTAGCCTTAAAACTGCATTTTAGATGACCCAAGGACATAATATTGTTCAATGGAGAAAACATTTCTGGCTTTTTTTTTGTTTTGCCTCAAGAGTAGGCTTTTTGAATACACCAATAAACACATTACACTAATAACAGTACCCCTGCCCTGCTGTCCAATGCAATTTCACCCCACAAGCATGTTCAAGCTCCCTTTATTGCCTGTCAGTCCCGTGTCATTTCACTGGGATGCATCACAATGCTTGCCTTGTGTGATTTCTTTGTCCTGGGTCCCATGACATAATGAATCTTGCGCAAGTGAAGTTAGGCAAGCGTTTATTTATGTGCACGTAATAAGTTTGCTTTTGTTGTGTGCATACATACCTCTTAGAAATTTCATGAGATTCACAATGTTTGTGTAGGTACTGAACTTATGTTACTTTTGTTTAACCGTTGAAATTTGAGCTGAAATTGCGTTTGATCTCTTCAGACACACCACAAGCTCAAAAGGATAGATGATAATTATATTTTATAAGCCTACAGGAAACAACTCATTCATTTTTCTACACAAACACGATTGTTTTCATGTGTTTAAAATGAGCTTCTTTTTGCACAAATATTTCTTGGGGAAATGTGATGCTTCATGGGGAAATCAGGCGCTTGTCAAAATAATGAAATTAAAGTAACAGGCTTTTTTCTGCCCTTTTGTCAATTTTTATCGATTTTTTTTTTTTTGGCTCAACACCTTTTATGTCCATACAAAAACACATTTTCATGTAAATTTTACTGGAAAACATTGATTAAATTAAAGGCACAAAATATGAAATTTTCCAGTTTTCAAGGACTCTCTCTGCTATTGAAGATACCAAACTTTGGCAGCTATTTTCTCGTTAATTTTACTACTGAAACCAGGTGACCCCACCTCGTTCATACGCAAATCTGGACTTCCATTAAAGATAGATGGGTTTTTTATTCTTTAAAAGCAAGGCAAATGGACAAGCTTTAAGATAGTACTAAAAACTCCTCATGCCCGAAATTTCTCGAGCGCCTGATTCCACCATGTTGTGACACAAATTGCTTTGAAATTAGGTGTTTCAAAACAAGTAGGAGATTTATTTATTTTTTTTTTTTTCCGTTGGAGATGAGAAGATAAAATTTGATACCAAAAGCAAATGATTGAAAAAGTATTAGGAAACATGGACAGTGTCTTTTATTTTTATAACTTTTTAACTTCAGTGTCTGCAGGGGATAAGTCCCGTCTTCATAACTCATTCTCTTTTTAGAATGGTTATTTGTGTTTACATTACTGCAACTTCATTAAACTTGTATGTTCCAGAAAGAGTTTATCTGAGTACTTACGCTTAATACAGCCAAATCCAAAGTATCCCTAATTTCACATTTGGTTCTCTGTTCCTTTCTGAAAATTTATACACTCTCATCAGATTTTATTCATGTACAGTTCACTATTCTTCCCGGTACAACACAGGTTCGTTTGGCACTGAACACAGTTCTGCACTTTGATACTTTGGTACTTTGCAATATAATGGCACAAATTAGGGTAGAGTGACTTTTACCTTTTCTACTCCACACATTACTATTTTTCATGCAATTTACTATCATGTGGTTTTTTTTTTTTAGATTGCCTGAGATCCCCCCTGACACAGCAGAGACGAATGCTGTAATGCGAACAGACCAACTACCACAGTTTTCTGAAATAAGTCCCGCTAAATGTGTGAATGCTTGTGCCAAGCTGGCTATTGAGTACGAAACTAAATTGGAGAACCACATTGAGGCGCTTAAAGGTGAGTATAGTTTGATGTCTCAGGAATGATGATATTAAGTCTTTGTGTCTTCATTAGTTTCACTGTTTTGCGGGAATCTTTTTGTTAAAATTGGGCCATTTACAGAAAAGTGTAATATGATGAGTAATTATAGGTGCTGAAAGCACCATAAAATATGCTTAATATTAAGTACCATGTTAAAGGTATTACAAAAGGCAGGTGCTTAATGTTATGATTAAATATAATATATAAAGATAATATTTGCAACTAAGTTTACTAAGTATATGAAGACTTGTCAATTTAAGTTTCGTTGTGGAATGAAAAAAAAAAGCTTTTATCTGTTTTAATGCTTGTCCTCTGAATATTCACAGATGCCAAGAAGGACAAAACATTTGAGAGTGTTTACCATCCCCTGGAGGAAATAGCTGTTCCTTTGAACACTGCTTGGGCCACGGTGAAAAATTTGAACTACGTGTCTGATGACTATCGCCGAGCATTCTCGAGGGTAAGGGAAATGCTGTTCAACCTGCCCAAACGGTCACCTGTACGAATGACGACTTCCCACTCTCCCCTTGCGTTTTTAAACTGATTCAGCCCTCGCATAATTTTATCTCCGAATGCAAATAATTTGTGACTGCTTCGGGATGTCACGGGTGGTCTCACAAGAGGTTAGTAAGAATTAACTTAATTTGATAGAACCCCTTAGTGTGGCATATAGATGTTCAAAATAAAAAATACTATTCAATGACACCAGAAAAAAGGGTTGAAATGTAAGTGGTAAGGCTCTGCGTCAAAACACAGGAGACAGTCAGCAGCTGTGAGTACGGCTGCTGGCTCAATCAGTTAAGTATCATAATTATTGGCGCTGTCCAAGACGTCCACCCCCCCTCCCCCCCACCCCCCCGAGTAGGGCAAGGCTACTGACTGAAGTTGTCTTTAGACAGACCATTCCCAAAGGGGGAATATTAACATGTTCTTATTCACAGTTGTATTGTCCATGGGCTGATTTATCTATGTCTTGCTCATGCTGTTCCGGAACGACATTGGGGGAACTGCTGCTTTTTCTTTCTTCATTTTCTACTTCTTTTGTATGTTTGTCACTCTCTTATGAACTTCCATTTTCGGGGTGCCTTGATAGTTGAAGCAGACTTTGTGCTGTTGAGGCTAGAGAGGTGAGCAGAGTAAGCCTGATTCCCTGTTTGGACTTTTCTATTGACATCCACCCCTTGACGCTCATATTACCTTATGCTTTTGTGAGCGCCTTAAAACCTTACTAAAACTAACTGAGATGTCCACCTGTCTAAGACATTCTCTTTTCACCTTGACGATGCCTGGCCATCTTGGACAATTTTGACTGTGCTGTCTGATATTTTGTTGCAAAGCGAAAGATAACATCCAAAATACGTGAAACAAAGTGTTGGATAGTTATAATGTCCAGGACTAGAAAATCTCCTTACTTATTTGTTAGGCGATTTAGAAGGAAGTTGCAGCTCTTGGTTCCCTGTCAAAAACACCTGACTTAATAGAGGAAGCTCTTTCAGGGAGTAGGGGAGAAATTTTGGTCACACTCATTATTGAATGCCTCAGAACTTTTATGTATAATTGATAAAGTTTATCCAGTAGCTTTATAATCATTAAAAAATAACTGTTATATGGTGGATGGATAGTGATAAATTTGAAAAATCTAGAATAGAACGGTTTATACGGTTTTTAAGATAAATTATACCTCATACTGACTCAATTGGCAGAAGGGAGTAGATGTTGATAGTCTTGTCTCTTATTTTACCCCGTCACTCCATATATATTTAAAATGATGTGTTTTTGAAACCTATTGCACAGGTTCACCCTCAAGTTGAAAGAGCAAAGAATGAAAGATGGGTCAGTGAGACCTTGTTTTATGCCTTCAAAGTGAGTATGCTGAGTTTCTTTTTGTCTGTAACATACTTGTCTCTTTTGACGGCTTGTTTTGATGTAGAAATAAATATTCTGCCGTAAGCTGACACGTCTTTTATTCTTCAAAGCGGTTTTGAAAAGATGAGATTTTTTTGTCAGCGTAATCTTTTAAAAATAGAGTCATTCCGAAATTTAAATTCTAATTTACTAAAAAAACGAGTTACAGTTTCAATTTGATATTTTTCACACCAGTAGAAATAAAAAAATTTTGGCATCAAAATGAAAAAAGCGTTTTGTCAGCTTCTGGCAGTATTAATGTTGTTCTCTCTCTTTATTATTGAAAAAAAAAATAGATGGCTAATTCACTTGGGAAGTTAAAATAAATCTCTTTTGTCCTGTTGTTTGCATAGAAATGATTTGGTGCTTTTGAAAGCTGCTCAACATGGTCAGATTATGCATACTTGATATTGCTCATTACTATTGATGTTTGTGTGTTTAAAACCCATTAAGCCCCCCACGGCGGTGCCACTGACTGAAGTGTCTTTAGGCTATTCCCAAAGGGGGAGACATTTCTCGTTCTAATGCACAGTAGAATTGTAAATGGGCCGATCCAACAATGTCATGCTCATAACTGTGCCTGAACTACAACAGGGAACTGCTGCTTTTTCTTTCCTAATCCTTTCTATTGTCATTTACCTCTACTTCTTTTGTATGAATGTCTCACTCTTGTGACCCATTATTTCCGGGGTGCCTTGATAGTTGAAGCAGACTTAGTACTGTTGAAGCTAGAGAGGTGAGCAGAGTAAGTCTGATTCCCTGTAAAGACTTCTCTGTTGATATCGACCCCTTGACGCTCATATGACCTTATGCAGTTGCGAGCGCCGTAAAACCTCTACTAAAACTAAACTAAAACCCATTCACTTTTAAGTCATGTGGTTGGGCTTTAGTCTTTGACAATTCTTTTCTGTTTTCATATCATTGACAATTATTCTGAAGTCCTGCTCACTCAACTCTGTGTGATTTCGTGGTAATAAGTTTACCTCTAGCACATCCACAGGAAATAGTGTTGCTTGAAAGTTCAAATATTACCTACTCATCTTTAATTTCCTATGCAGTGTTTTGGCATGTTTTCTTTTACTCAATGACATGTTGGTCTATGGGAATACGGCAGATGCTTTGATATAGTTTGCCCCTTCTTTCATATCAAACATCTGTCATCCTTATCACTCCTCCTCCTATTTTGCTTTTGTTAAGTTTCTAGTAACACCTCTAATCTTCGGCATTTGTATGACCTAACCGTGTTGCAAGTGCCATGATACGCTTACTAAACCAAACATTTGTGCTTGTCTTCGATGCTGCAGGAGTTGGAGTCAAACAGCGCCAACCTCACAGAGTTCCAGCGGAGACTGGTGGATGTTTATCTTCTTGAGGGTCGGCTGAACGGCATTGAGCTCTCCGCTGCCGACCGCAGCCAGCTGGTGGAGGCCTTGAAGCTCATCGGGAAGGAAAGCCACAACTTCAGGTTTGTTTTGTTTTAGTTGATGTTTTATCGTGTGAACTTTGATATTGAGTGGGGTTGCTGCGCACAACTGGCACAGCGGGTTTGGAGCGCCCATTTAGTTTCGGCTGGCGCGAGGCAAGCAAGCCTACGCTTTCCAAGATCACGGGGTCATTTACCTGTACCGCCGGGGATTTCCCTTATCAGCCGAACACCGGCAGCGCTCTTGTTTATTTTTTGCCAAGTTTGCCAACACAGTGAGCCAAAGCTAATGTAAGATGAACATTTTAATAAAGACCACGTAAATATTCAACATATTAAGGAAGAAAGTTAAGAAATCGGAAAACCATGGTACATGACACTTAAAAGCTGTGAAGTTCTCAAAAAGGGGACTTAATTTGATAAATGTGTCATGGTTAATTAATTATAAACATCAATTTAAATGTGATTGCCCCCAATGAATTCAATCAAATTTGCGCACAGGACTGAGAACATAATGAAATTTGTACTCACAAAGGGGCATATGCAAGAAGCTTCTGGATCAGTAATTGTTCAGGTTTGAAGTTGATTTTTGCAAAACTCTTGCTTTGCGACCTTGATCTTTCCTGGCGATATCCACGATACATGTAACTACAGAACAGATCTTTCCTTGCCGATACACTTATGAAAACACAACCTAAACACAACATACAAAAAGAACACAATATTGTTTGACTGGAGGAATTGTCTCATTTTTCCGCTGTAAGCTTTCGCCTTTTGATGGGTGGTGCACACGACAGTAGCTCAGGGTGGGTTTGGATGTGTTGTGACTGCATGATTGTTTTGACGTGTTTTCATTTGTCTTTTATGGCTGCTACTTGTCTTTCCAGCTTGGCCACGGTTGCATGAATGAGCTCCCCCCTTACTCACCATAGAAGGCCATTCCAAACACGTATTTTTGTATCCAAGGAACGCAGCGTTTCTCTAGGATGTGTTGTTTGGGGATGACCTTTTCTTTGCCAAATATGCTTCTGTATAAAGACATATATCGTGTGATGCAGGACTGAATACGTGGTATTCTCTCTGAAGTGATTGGCTTTCCATGTGCGATTAATGTGTAAATCGTTAGATGATGATGTTGTCTCTGTTGCTCCAGTTGTTTCTAGGAATTGTTCTGATGCAGTGCTCTGATCTTGATGTTCGTGTACACTATCTGTCTCTTTATCAATCTGCGTGTACGATGATGTTGTCGAATTATTATCTTGTATGAGCGGATCTTGGGATGATGTTGCTGTCTCTGTTTTGTTCCTGGTGTCTGTGAGGATTGTTATGCCATGTTCTTTCCTACATTTCTGCTGCCCAATCCGGTCTGATTGTGACGTTCACAAATTGGGCATTCAGCAACCGTTGTCGTAGTTGTAGCGTTGTACCTCACCCAGAGATGTTTGCTGTCATGCATCAATTGTCGTGCTTTCTGAACCGTACCAACATATCCATTTGCTTTTGCTTGTCGTACCCTACTGACACAGGAGAAGCAAATGTGTTTGGAAAAATCTTCTTTCGTATCTTCTCTCACCGACACGCTGAACACTAAAAGAATATCGTTGATAAAGTCAACACATTTGTACCCCTTCCTCCTTTGACGTTTTTGTTTTTTTGTCAAACACCTCTCACCACATGTCCTACACAATGCATGAAGGCGTTCCATATGATCATGTTGAGTGTGGCACTCCATGACGAAAATATTGTTCAAAATGACAACAAAAATCAGATGTAGTAGAGGCAAGAAAACTAAAAACAGTGGTGGGTTGGTATTTTTTAAAAACATCACAGAAAATCACAGAATAACTTAGTGCACTTGAAACTTGCACATGTGAATGAAAATTGTCACCGCAACTGATACGTGAATTTCTGTTTAAATCGTTTGGGGCCAGATTGAAATATTTAAATCCAAACTAAAAAAGTTCTGAGTATTGAAGATGCCAGTTTGAAGATCACAGACTTACTTAAAAATCCCTTGTAAAACTGATATAATTGGACTTGCAAGAAAACAAGCTATACCGGCTTACAGGTCAAACATAGCACGTTACAATGAAATCTCAATCGGCTTTGTAGCATTTATAGTTTCAGAGTTAAGAGGCTTTCAATTCGCACTATAACGACATATTTACGACTGCCCCGGCACAGTAGAAGTGGCGCTGCGGTCACCCCAATTAACCCCTCTGACAAGTGATTTAAAATTACGTGCTGGGCTGTCGGGCGGAGCGGGCAGGGTGGTGAGGATGGTCGGGTAGGAACCGGGGAAGAAAAACTAAATGATCGATCTGAACGGTATTTTATCCGCTGTGCTGGAAGGCCTTTCACCATTACTACCATCACTACCCTTCCATTGTTTGTGTATCTGTTTTGTCTGTCTGTCTTTCTTTTTCTTAGCACTAGATGATAAATATTGTTATTCAATAAAGGTACTTCTTGTTTTTTATCATGACTATAAGTATTTATGATTCTACTCTTTAAAGGATGTTTTATGTTGAGTAAAGTGAACATAATTGCATGGGATATTCATTTTGTTTCTTGTACAGTATTGTAAGGAAAGGCTCTCCTTTGTCTTCAAATCTTGTATGAAAATTGTAATAAGACATTACTCTAGGTCACATAAATACTGACTCAGAGATGGATCTCTTTGTATACACTTGTGTGTGTTTTCTCATGCCAACATTTGTATTTGTTTTTGTAATATTATATTTGTGTGTGTGTGTGTGTGTTTGTTTGTTAATGTGTGCACCTGCTATGTTAGTTGTTTTGCTCTATTTTTTTCTTTCTAATGCTTTGATATCATCCAACTTAAATTTGTGTTCTTTTCTGTTTTTCCAATTTCTACAGGAACAAAGTTCGAATATGCACAGAAATGTTCACTCACGACATTTCAGACTTCGGATCTTTGGAGGAGATGCCCTGGCCTTTACTGGCGCAGATGTCAAGAGACAGGTCTGATTTTGCCTAACCATTTTTTTTTTTATGAACTGATAACATTGCTTGTGTATGACACATACTTTGATTTTTGTAGATAGAGCTCATGCTGTCATTGAGAATAGTTAAGCTGAGCTTCATTTATTGGACGGACAGAGAAAGAAATGAGAGAGTTATGAAGAGGTAAATTGGGACTGGTACAGAATTGCAAGGAATTTGGTCTTTGGCTTTTGTCATGTCTGTGTACAGGAATAGGCTAAAAAATGAACATTTAGTTTCTCCATGGCTCACTGCATCTCAGTTTCCCTAGATCGTGACCCCTTCACTGTCTGCCCTTGCCTAAGATTGTCTTAACTGATTCCATTCATGATTTTTTCAGGCTCTAGAAAGAATTATTTTTGCATGTTCAGTTTTTGACCTAGGGTGCATCTATTTAATGCATTGCTGTGAAGCTCTAAGTTACTCTTATATGTACATAGTACATTCACCGAATGGACGGAATCAGTTAAAGTTCCTCGGGCCAAGCTTTGCAAAGCAAAGTTGAGCAATGCTGAAGTTTTCCATTTCAATAATTTCGTCTTCTGTCTTTGTTGCTTGTCATGATGCAACTGTCCTCCCCCCAAAAATATTATATCATTTGATGTCTAGATATGCCATTTCCTTTCCCGTGTTTTTTATTTATTTGTGTACCCGTTATATGGTATATGTACTTGGGTTCTGAAACAGGAATAATTCCATCTTCAGAAGAGTGTTAAGTCCAGAGAGCACTGGGCAAGCAGTTATGGCATTGATCTTTATCTGTATCCGTCAAGTGCTTTGCCGTTGCATGCAGGAGACTTGGGTTTGATTTTTGAGGGGGGGGAGAGATTTAGAAGTATCTCAGTCTGTTTGATAGGATGTTATATCCCCCTCTGCCTGGGTTGCCCTTGACAGTCAGGGTCTTGAGACTGCCCACTAAATGTTCTAAACTGTGTTAATGGACAGAGTAAAAACGCCAACATTAACCCTATCTGTGCGTCGGGTTTTACTTTTGTATCCATTCGACGTGGGGAACTCAATGCCACCACTTTCCAAAGAGGAAATTACTCTTTAATCAGATCTGTACTCTTTGCATAACAGTCTGTCAAAATGATGTTTTGAGAAATACTAAAAGTTTCAAAGATATCTTCGTACTAGAAGTATTCTAAAATGTGAAGAATACATCCTCGGGGGTACAAAATGACCCCAGGGCGTACGGATAGGGTTAAATAACATGTTTTTTGTCTGTGTTGTGCCCAGTGAGAATCCCACCCGGGGTCCTTGGAGAGCCACCCTCCAGCCAGCCAGCTACCAGTCCATGATGACGTACTGCAGCGATCGCATGACCCGCTGGAACCTCTGGCAGGCCTACCAGAACCGGGCGTCTCACGTTCATGCCGGCCAGTTCCTCAACAACAACAAACTCATCGACAACCTCAGGACCTACAGGTGGGCTCAAGGAAAACAAAGTTTAAATATAACTAGCTGGGCCCCCTTTCGATAAAAGGGACGATCGGTAGGTTAACATCAACTGAAAGTCATTGGCCTACTACCTTGACCTTTGCGAGCGCGAGGGGTTCCAGCTGCAGAACGTCGTTTTCTTTACGACATGGTCAGGCGCTATCTAGATCTAGATTCTAATCTAAGACCTGTTGACGTTGTTCCCAGTAGCAAGAAAAAGAATTTGACAGAGGAGTCCAGAAAAAGCGATGATGGGTATCAAACGAAAAGATCACAGTCGAATTTAGCACCAAGTAAAAAAAGAAAACATGAGGCTGCATCTATAGGGGTCACACACTTATAATAGTGCTCAGTATTGCGCGACAATGCGTGATAGTATCGAACGGAAGTACGACATAAACAAATCTGGTGGCTTTTCTTAAATTACAGAGACAGAAGCGTGGGCCTACAAAAGCGATCGGGGAAATAAAGAAATTTAGCTTTTTGCAGCAAAATGTCTCAAAACTGAAAAAAACGAAGGGCGTCATGATCTGGAAAATATTTTAAAGAATCTTTTGACGAAAACCGCATGTCGATCGCGATCGATGCAGCCATTAAAAAGCCTTTGGAATAGCAAAATTCGGCCACCACAAATAGATAATAGATGCATAGATTGATTCTCTATTTTGCTTTCGTGGTTGTACAGAAGCATGTTGATTTTTCCCAGTAGCAAGAAGAAGAATTTGACAATAGAGTCATGAAAAAGCGATGATGGGCATCAAATGAAAGGATCACAGTCGAATTTAGCACCAAGTAAAAAAAGAAAACATGAGGCTAGATCTATACGGGTCGCACACTTAAAATAGTGCTCAGTAGTGCTCAAAATTCGGCCACCACAAATAGATAATAGATAATGAAAAATAATAATAGCCGTTATATAGTGCATATCCAAATTCTACAGCATGCTTCATTCATGTGCTTTACACCTATTATGCTGTTACATTGTGCAGTTTTTGTTGGTAGATCTATAAAAGTAAAACCTGCTGCTATATTTTGTAGACTTGTATTTGTTTCAGAGGGGTGATAACTCATGATGCTGGTCTGGATATTCTATTTAAATACCTTTACTGATTGTTGTAATTCACTTTACATCTCTACATCCTACCAAATAATTATTCGATGGGCGGTTGGCGGGTGCTCTGATATGGTTTGCTTCTTCTTTCCTATCAAATATATCTCTATCGTCTTTATCTCCCCTCCTTCTTTTTTGTGTTTGTTACTCTCTTGTGACACCTCTACTCTTCGTCACTTATATGACCTTATTCTGTTGCAAGTGCCGTAAAACTCTTACTAGAACAAACAAATACTTATTTGCTTCGAGGGGTTATGCACTGGTGTTTGTGGTGAAAAGTTATGGTGCTTTGCCATTGCACGAAGAAGACCTGACTTTGTTTCCTGTGTGTGGAGAGTTTTAATCGAGTATCCTGGTGGTCATGCCGCAGGAATGATGTATCCCTCTCAGCCTGGGTTGGTCCTGACAAGCAGGATTGAATCCCGACTCTGAAATGATCTAAACTGTTTATGGTAATTTTTTGCTTTCCCTCCCGTCTCACACTCAGCTACCAGTTGTCTATTTTCTACTAGATATTGATGCGCTGAACACGAATATCAACTTCATTTCCGTTGCAAATTAATAGCTTTTGAAATATTTGATTGTTTTTAACCGAGATAGACATGCTTTGGACCAATCGGGGGGTTCCAGGGGGGCCTGCCCCACTGGGGTATAAGAAAATCTGGGGGGGTTACAGGCATGCCCCCCTGTTTTTACCCATAATTTGATATTTTACAGTTAGATTTGAAATTGTCTTGAAAATAATTGCTTTGCGACAGTTTTAGTGGCTTTATGTGTGATCTGCAGCAAACAGTACAGCAGTTGACCCTTGAAACAGTGCATCTGTGTGCGGGAGTGAAAGTAAAAATTTACCCTGTTTATTTTAAAATGTGTTGGGTTGGCTGATGATAAAGGTTTAAATTTTCTTCCCAAGATGTCCTGCCTGACACTGCAGAGGATTGAACAACCCTTGTATTTTGAATGCCTTCTTCTTCCTCGTTCTTGATGACAGCAACTAGAAAGTCAGTCCGATGTCGCGCACAAACTGTGCAGTTCGCTTCAACTCTGAGAGACTGCCCTAGAGCTTTCTCTCAAGGGGAGCCACATTCTGCCACGTCTGTGTACGAAGGGTTTGAATGCCTTAAAACTCATGCTTATCAAAACTCATCCACATAAAGTATACGTGTCTGTGGGTTGCCCTCAATTCAGGAAAATGTTAATGCCACATTTATGTGCTGAACTCCTTCCAGTCCCTGTCTCTTTCCGCCTGAAATATTTTTAAAACTTTTGGTGGGTTTTTTTTTGTAACTTTCAGATCAGATGTTGCTAAAATGCTGGGCTATGAGAACTTTGTGGAGATGTCCATGGAAACTAAAATGGCTGGTTCAGTGGAGAATGTCCTCAGCATGATTGAAACGTAAGTGTTTGGTATGGCACTTGTGACGGCTACATATGGCCTCACATTATAAAAGATTAATACTTGAAAGAAAGACAAAACACAACCGCTCTCTTGCCTGCCTGCCGGTGAACTGATTTTTATTTAGTTTAGTTTACACTAAAATCTCGTGTGTGTTTTCATTCAAAACGAGACAATATGTGACGTGTCAAGGAGGGGAAATAATTGTGATATTAAAGAATCATTCTTTCAACATTCCCAACATAGTTAATTCCCATTTTTACATCAGACACAAACATAACAGCACTTATTTTTAAATAGTTGTTGTATTCCTGCAATTCTAGTTACACATGGTATCTATATAGAGTGCAACTTTTTGATATGTATAATGATAATACTAGTAATGATAATAATAAGAATAATAGATGGCATTTATATAGCGCTCTATACCTTTTCAAAACAAGCTCTTTGAGCTGTACTATCATCTATAGTAAACAGTATTCAGACTCAAAAAAATAATACTATGCTGGAGAGATAAAAGAATGGCAATATTTGTTATCTAAAAAATATGTACTATTGATTGTTTGTTCCTTACCTAACTAGAGTCCTTAGCAGATTTATTCAGTATGCTCTGGTGCTCTTCACAAAAATAAGACATAGTGTTGTTGTAGCCTAGCTTATAATGATAAGAAATTATATTTTGGGGGCTAGTCTTTATGTTTTAAACGCAATGTTAAGTGGTTTTACATAGACTATGATTAAGAGAATAAACTCAAAAAGAGTGAAAGATTCTAAATGTGTCTTTCAGTTGAAGCCTTTGTGAAATATTCTTTTATAATAAAATGTCATGACGTGTACGTTGCAGACTCAAGGGTCGCTTTGCCCCTGTGCTGTGGGAGGAAGTGGAACAGCTGCAGAAGTTTGCTGAGTCCGAGGGTTTCCGGAACCGTCTGGAGATGTGGGACATGAGCTACTGGCAGAGACGGCAGCGGGAACATCTTTATGGGTATGTCAGTTCTTCTTTTTGTTGAGATGTAGTGACTCTTTGTTCAGTTCTTTTTCAGTTGTCTTGAGCTCTTAAATGAGACTTGAATCAGAAATCCTGAATACAGTGATCTTGTAATCTATGAGAAGGTTTGTATAAGTTCTGATGATATCCTGCAAGCATAACTTAGTTTTGTTCTTGTGGCATGGGATGTTTGACGATAATGAAAACGTAGGTCAGTGCCTTTGGAAAGAAAAGGTGAGTGCATGCTCAAGACTTTTTATTCTCTCGTTTTTCAGTGCTGACAAAGAAAAGGTTTCTGAGTACTTCCCATTGAATACGGTGCTGCTTGGCCTGTTTGACTTGTGTACGAAGCTGTTTGGGGTTAGCTTTGAAGTAAGTTGTTCCTTTTTCTCTTTTTCTGTAAGATTTCTGGGGGGGGGGTTCTTCAGATTTTATATTTCATTTACTTAAATGGTCCTGTTCATATGTGCTTACTTTTGGATGATAGACATGACAGGGTTTGATTTATAGAAAATGGGTTGGCTCTCATATTTTTGTATTTGTTAGTTTGTCCTGGCGATTGATTGGATGTACTCTCAAGAAGTCAGGCAGCTGCATAATAAGGAAAATGTTGGATTGGAACCCACAGGGTAAAAGATCAATGGTAAGACCACGTGGAACCTGGAGAAGAGTCACAGAAATCAATGTACAGAAAAGTGGGAAGACATGGAATAACATCAAGAGGCAAGCCCAGGATAGGGAAAGGTGGAAAGTGTTTGTTCGTGGCCTATATCCTGACCCAGGGTGAAAAAATCAATGATGATGATGATGAGTTTGTCCTGACTCTCATCGTTTTTGTTGTGTTATATGTTTTTTTCATTTTTTTTCAGGAAGTAACACCAGAAGTGGACTTATGGCATAGTGATGCTCGCTTCTTCAACATCACAGATGCAAATGGTGGGTCGGAATGACCAGACAGGAGGTCTTTACTTAGCACACAGTTCATTTTGGTTTCTTGTAGACTTTAAAGAGAATGATTATAGTAGAGAACTATTTTGAATTGTTAGGGGTGCCGCTTCACAAGATATTTTTAGAGAATCGGGCATCTCATGTTTTATTTCTCTGATCGAGTTATTTTATTTCTCTAATTCCTTGGCCATCTAATTTCAAGGCCTCTGGCCTTCTATGAGTCCAACATGTTTCTTACTCTTCCTTTTCTTTTCTTTTTGTTTTGTAGTTATTGTCCAGTCTTATGTATGTGATGCTGATATCATTTTGGAATGTGGTTCTGTAAATTTCAAAAATCTTATTGGCTGCTGATACTTTACTTTACTTACTTACTTTTCCGATCCAGCGGCCATTTGGAATCTAGCCCTTCGGTCTGTCGATATGGCAAAGAATTTACAGGTTTCAATCAGCTATGCTTTGTCGCTGTATAGAGTATTTTCGATGTCTGGGGAGGCAGGTAGGTAGGTGCTACGCAGATCGCAAAGTGCAGGGCAGTTAAAGAGGTAGAATGGTACTGTTTCTTCCTGGCAGTCCCACAACGGGCAGTCGGGTGAGGTATCCTTGCGGATCCTATTAAGGTAGGAATTTAGTGGGATGTATTGGCTGCTGATAACAACCCAAAATTATAGTGAACATTAATGGACAGTTTTGTTCAGTTGTACATATTTCTTTACCTATTTTATTGTACTTGAACTGTTGATAAATTTTTACATCTTATGTGGCCTATTTGAGCGAAATGCTCGCAGCTAAGGGGATTTGAAAACAACATCAACAACATGTGATCTATTTCCCGACAGTTGATGTATTTTTACCATGTTTATCTGAGTTTTGATACCCCAAATAGAAGTAGGTGGTTGGGGGGGTCTGGTGTGGTTTGCTCTTTTTTTCTATGAAACACTTGTTGTCCTTGTCTCTCCTGTTTTTGGGGTTTTTTTTGGCATGTTGTTCTCCTGGAACACCTCTAATTTTTGGCTCTTCTATGACCTAGTTGTGTTGCAAGTGCCGTAAAACTTATGCTAAAAGTACTAAAACTAAAAAAGAAAAAAATTGAATCTACAGGGGATCATCTCAGCTCTTTTTACTTTGACCCATTTGCAAGACGCGAGAAGACACCCAGCCCCTACATGGATATGGGCAGAGGTGAGGACCTTTATTTCTCTTTTCCGTAGCAACCCTTCAGGGTTTTTATAAGTTTCTTCCTTAAAGATGCTTATGATATCATATTTTGGTTTATTCATTTTTTTAAAAGACCTAAAACATGTATAGAACTTTCATGCATGCATTGAGTATTTTTGTACTTTTTGCATAGGGCCGGTTAGTTTTTGTGAAAAGTTTAGTTCGTTGTTTTTGTTTTTATGGAGTTGTTTTCACAATGTAGTTATCGATAGGTTGGTTTAGTTTCATGTTACAGTATGATGTATTTATTGTGAAAGTTTGGAATAAACGTCTGTGAGGACTTTCTAAAATATGATCATAAGTTTTGCTCACCATGTTCTTCTGTATTTGCTCTCAGAAAACAGTGAAGTCATGGGAACTTGGCCTTATTCCTACCTGTCTTTAAAGATTCCACGCCCACAGTCTCCCAGCGATCCTTCTCTGATGAGATTTGAAGATGTGCAGATGTTGTTTCAGGAGGTCAATCCTTTATTATTTTTTTAGAAACTGACTGATTAAAAAAAAGAAATTTGTTGAAGCTTTTTGTTTGAAAGGGTCTGAAGCAAATGATTTACCTAAGGGCAGATAAGTAGTGTATTTAAACATGTACGTCCAAATGTTGTGACAGTCACGCACAGTTTTATTACTTCCCTCCTTGTATTATTGGCATTTGACTTGGTAGCTCTCTCCTTTTTTGTTTTTTTGAAGATGCTGTGAAGATATAATTTTATTGAAAGTAGAAAATGAGTGGATTTGTGGTTGTTTGAATATGTAACATAAGGTCTATGGCACAAGTTTAAACTCATTCTTTTGAATGCATTAGAAGTAAGGAGAAGTACAAAGACATGATAATCATCATCACTGGTATTGGAAAAGGGGACAACAGAAAGAAAGAAAAGAACATGGACCAGTCTGTCTGAAATGCAAGATACACTGAAAAAAAAATCCATTTATAATTTTGATATTGGTTCTGTTTGCAAAGCTTAGTAGTTATTTGGAAAATAGCACTATCATTCAGTATAAGACAACTACTTCATGAATTCCGCTTAAACAGAATATGGTTAATCCAAAAACATCAGCAAACTGAAAAACAGTAAAATCCCCTTGTTTTTTTTGTTTTTTTCTATTTGAACAACGTGTCTAAACCGAAAATCCAGCTAAACTGAAAAAAAAAATCGGCCGATCCAGTAGATATTGGTTAAAGCAGACTCCACTGTAGTTCTGTTTGATGTCTTGAGAGTAAAAAAAAAAAAAAGAAGTAAGTAACGCCTTTCTTGACTTTTCTGTCACCTTCACAGTTTGGACACGGGCTACAACAGATGCTGACGAAGGTCCCCTACAGCGAAATCTCAGGTCAGAAGAACATTGAGTGGGACGCGGTCCAGGTGTGCTCCAAGTTCCTGAAGCAGTGGCTGACGGTGCCCAGCGTGGTCAGGTCGCTGAGTGGACACCACGAGACGGGCCAGGCCATTCCTGACGACCTGCTGGAGAACACCATCAAGGGTCAGTGGGTTGTTGTGAGTTCGTACACAGCTAGGTGGTCTGTCATCTCAGTGGATTATGTAATCAGTGGGTTCAAGTGAGGCCATATTTACAGCTGGGGGGTACTGGGTGTTTGGGAACTCTTAGTGGAGAAATTATTGTGCTAGAGACTTTTTTTGCGTGATGTGGTGTATTGTCAGTAGGCTCTGAGAATAGAAATAAATAGATTGAAAAATGTGATTTATACCAGTCTCTTTCAGAAAAGGAACCCCAGTTTAGGGTGCATTTTCAGTAGGCCCTTATAATAGAAATCTGAAGAAAAAATCCCCACATTTTATACCAGTCTACTTCAGAAAGGGAACTCCAGTTTTTGTTTCAAAAGTATGTATTTGAGTCTTGAATGGGAAAAAAGATTTGACTGTAATTTTTGTTGTGTGGTCCTTGTTTTTATTCAACAGCCAGCAGCCATTCCTACAACTTCGACATGATGTACCAGCTGTATGTCTCTGCGTTTGATATGGAGATCTACATGACGTAAGTATAGAGTAGAAAAAGTGAAATGATCGTCCTTGTTGGAATGTTCATTGGCAAAAGGCCAAAAAAATGGAGAGGTGGTCAACTGTTGAATTGTATGAAGCCCAAAATTATGAATGATTTTTTCAAAATTCAGTTTCTAAATCTGGGGTATCAGTTGCTTGTGCTCAAGAAACATTTGATCAAAATTCAGATTCTAAATGTTGAAGAAAGCCTGTAGTTTCCATGGAGTCTGAAAAGTTCTGGACGTGTTTTGTTGCCTCTGGGCATCTCTGGGGATACTGGTTCTGCATTTATGACAAGTGTTAAAAACTCGTTTGAATTGTAAGTAAGCATGTAGTCAATAGAATAGAGTCTGCCATCTGCTTTCTGTTTTTTTGTGTGAATAATTACTCTCTTCTTGTGAAGGTGTCATGGAAGTTACAGAACGGGTTTTAATTGTAAAAGCATTGCCCATTTTCTTTGTTCTGACAGTTACTTTTAATTACTACCACACAAACAAAATCTGCAACCTTTTCTTCTTCTCTTGTATTTTCCAGAAATACCCAGTGGCGAACCATCATGGCTCAGCTGTGGGACTCGTTTCTGCCACTCCCTCTGGATGACAAGGATTGTCTCCCCTGCTCAATGACACCTATCTTCTGCGAGCTGTACCCAGCCGCGTACTACTCCCACAAATGGTCAGAGGTAAGTGTCTGACCCTGGCACATCCCTGCCCCACTTTGTAGCCTATGCAGCGAAAAGTTCGGTGTATTGAGCACACCTTTATATAAGCCGCACCCACTAAATTTTTAAGAAATCAGAACTTTTTTTACGAATAAGCTGTACTGGTTTATAAGCCACAGCAGATAGTAAAACACAGATATGAACATCACATTTATTCAGTGCCATCATCGTCCTGTTCGCTCAATCAGCTGAAATCTTCTTCAGTGTCGGAGTTTAACTGACAGAGAAGTGTGTCCTCCGCCATTTTCGGCTCAATGAGGCTGTGTGCTTGAGAAATTGATCTAAATGCTTCAATGTGTGCTGCGTAATTTTTAATGTCATCAGTTAGCACAGGTAAACTAAGCTAAGCTAAACTGAACTGAACTTAAAGTTATTTAAATTGTCTGAACGTCCATTTTGGAATTTATCCCCAATAAGGACTAAGTGAGTTGAGGACAGCTAGAGTTGTAGAATGTCCTATTGCATGTTTAGTCAAGGGTTACTCACACCACAGTCCAATGCTGTACGAAGTGGTCTAAAGATACTTCCATGAAGTAGGCAGAGAGGCATGGTCAGCTTTTTGGGTTTTTTTTAAAATTGTAGATCTGAATATTGCAATGTAACCTGTTTCATTAATATGAATTTGTTCTTCTTTGCAGATGATTGCTGCCGATTTGTTTTCTGCTTTCAAAGAGGTTGGCTTGGAAAATGATGATGAAGTGAAAAAGTTGGGAAAACGGTAAGGGTTTTTTTGACACACCTACCTGGGAGGGACACCTGCTTTTGTATTTTGATAATCCAGTGTATGATTGGCGTATTTTTCTCTGATAAAGTCTTGCACCAACTGGAGTTTACTTTTAGTGTAGCCACTAAAACTTGTAAAGGTGTTATGACAGACCCGATGGGAACTGTAATGCTACATAAAGAGGTCTGATTTGTTGCCCCTGTAAGATATAGTCCTGCCTTGGGCCACTTTGTCAGTAGTTTTTGTTTTTGTTTTATTGTACCAAAATGCTGAATCAGCTTTAGTTTTGGATAACTCATTATGACTGTTTTTGCCCTGGATCATATGTTGGTATACATCCTATCGTAAATTAGCTCCTGCCTTCTTCTGTCTGTCATCTCAGTGGATTATGTAATCATTGGGTTCAAATGAGGCCATATTTTTACAGCTAATGAATGGTTTTCCAATACGTTGAGTTTAAGATCGTGTATACAAGATAGTTCACTCCTCTCTTTGAGCCAATTAAAAAAGCGTTCTCAAAGTTCTGTGGCACCTTCTTCGAAAAAGTGTGGACTTTGCGAATAGAGTTACCCTACCTGTGTGAAAAACAATAAAAGTGAAACTAACAAGCTGAGGTGTTATAATTCTCCTTCTGGGATAACGAAAGAGAGCTTCAAAACAAAGACTGCATGCAGCGCCATCTGAAACAATGCGCGGACTTCTGGCTGAGTGAACAACGTTCTATGTACGATCTTTGGTTGAGCTTGAAATATTTTCTAAAAGGGAATGTGGTCACAGATAACTCAAGGTTAAAAGTTATGGCTTTCTCTGTGTTCGTTTAGCATTGTATCCTGTTGTTCTGACAGATAGAGATTAAGTTAAGGATCAAGTTCTATTACTATTCTGTTGATTTATCCTGCTATATGATTGTTGAAGTGGGTGGTTGGCGGGTGCTCTGGTGTGGTTTGCTTCTTCTTTCCTGTCAAACATCTATCATCCTTATCTCCCCTTCTTCTTTTTTATTACTGTTACTCTCTTGTAGCACCTCTAATCTTTTGGTGCAGTTCTAATCTTGGTCTAATCTTCTTATGCAGTTGCGAGTGCCGTAAAACCTCTACTAAAACTAAACTAACTAAAAAGATTGTTCGCATTCTTTTTTGTTTCTCCACAAAAGTCTATGTAGTTTCACTGAGAAAAATCAATACAGTATTCGTTTGTGACTGATAGATCAATTTTTTATTCTGTTTATTTACTCTTCCTTATGGCTATTCTAATTATTTTAAAATCTTTATCATTTACAGGTTCAGAGACACATACTTATCCCTGGGAGGTGGTGTTCCTGCCAGCGAAGTCTTTCGTCGATTCAGGGGTCGTGACCCCTCCACCGATGCTCTCCAGCCCCCTATCCTTTCATGATATGATTGAAGTCGTTTTTTTGCATATTCCTTGGTCAACCATCTGTTCATGTGATACCATTATTCTCAGTTCGCATGTTTTTTTGGTTTTTTTTTTACATTTTCCTCAGCTAGATGTATGATGTGGTTTGAAAATAAAAGTTACCCACCTCATCTCTACAAGTAACATGCCACGTATAGAATGGAACTAATGCTTTAGGAACTGGTTTGTTGTTGTGAAAGGAGATGAGAAACTTATAAAAGTAAGATTAATTAAAAAGAAAAAAATTTGTTGAATATATATGGTTATGACATTTCAGCACCTGCGAAAAGGATTTGAATTGAAATGTCATTGTTTTGTGATGAAAAGTGAAAGGAGCAAGATAACAGCGACATTATTTTCAAGAACAGATTAGGATGAAAGATAGATGAAGTGTTACATATGTGTCAACCAAATAAGTGTTCTTGTTACTTGGTGGGCTTATTTCTATAAAAAATATCTGAGATAAATACAGCATTTGTTGTAGTGTTGTAGTTACCAGCGAGTCAGCAGGGTAGTGGCATTGGGTTTTTTTTTGCCTTGTGTACCCTTACTATAAAAAAAAGTAGATGGCAAGGGAAAGAGGAAAAAGAGCATGTAGAGTGTATGTTTTTTTAATTGATTTAATTTATAGAGTAGATACTGTTTACTTTCTTGCTCTGGTATCACGAAGAGACAGCCCCTGCCTGGTATTAGACAAGGTAATTATAACTATAATTAACCTTGCTCTAGTATCACGAAGAGACAGTCCCTGCCTGGTATTAGACAAGGTAATTATAACTATAATGAACCCTTCAAGTGTCGCTGACAAATAGCCTGTGGTTACAGGAGACATTATATGGTTTCATCGAATTGCGTTGGAACGTTGGAGAATGCTGAAAACAGGCCGTGAACATATACATTGTCAGGAAGTATAATGTAAATAGAAAGAAGCTCATTTGTGAAGGAGTTTGAAGTGTTCGGCAGTATGGAAAAGTGGGATATGTGAACTGAAATAGCAACTCAATTTACAGTTGATTATATCATATCGGCTGCGACACCCACAAAAACTTGCGGCCGATCTTATCAGCTGTCAGCGCAAGGACATTTAATGTTAATTAATATTGTTCTCTATCGGCTGTTTTGTCTGTTGCTTCCCCCCCCCCTTTTTTTTGTGATCGAGAAAAATAATTAGATATTTACTGTGTTCTAAGTAAGGTACAGTGGTGATATGACAAGAACAAGGTTGTTTCATTGTGTTATGGATGAGGTTTACCACAGATTTTGGTGGGACAAATTTTTGTCATTGCAATGTTGACAAAATGTACATAAATGTTTTGGTACGATGTTTTTGATATGTTTGAGTAGTTAAAATGCTATTGGTTAAGGCAGTGGACATTCTGTTCCTGCTTGTTGACGGAGTTATGCTATCGTATGAATGTTGTGAGACGTTGACCCTGAAAGGACATACAAGACCTCCCAGTATGTACTACTGAAATTCGGTGGTCTTTGATGGATACGAGAGGAGTGTGAAATGTAGAAAATGGACATCAGAGTCTTGGTCATCATATTTTATTATTTGGTTTTCACTTGCCTACCTGATAAGTTCTTGTCTCTCTAGAACGAAATGAGAAAAATACAGTTGCTCCTAGTTGGAAATTAGGAGAAAAAAAAAAATAATGGTGAAATGGTATGGGTTTAACGGCCCCTATCAACACTATTAGGTTATTTAAAGGGCGGAAAAAAAATAAAAGAAGCTGAGTGCAGGTCAGTCTACCGGAAGAATATCAACAACACTAGTAATAGTAAATCATTTTCACTATTTTTGTCTTTCTGAGAAATGTTATTCAGGAACCATTTTAGATTTGATAGTCTCATAGGTATTGCTCAGTTTTGAAGCTTTAGTTTGAGCAGCGTGATTATCAGGTGTAAAAGTAAGAACATTATTTTGTTGTGAGTGCAGAGAGAGAGAGAGAGAGACAGTTTTGTCTGTTTGAGAAACTCTCCTGAGGAACTGTTTAGTTGTTGGTGAAAGATGAATGTTTTGTGTGCTCAGTGCTGTGATGTGCACCAAGGGTGGAAGTGTTTCATAGTCTAATTAGTTGATTGAATGAGTGAATGTCATCGGGATTGAAAAGTGTTATTTTTTCCCCCCATCAAATTTGTGTATGGACATTATCACGTTTTTTTAAAATAATGAAAAGTTGTTCTTTTTCTCGGGATGTAGTTTCTCATTGTAGTCTCAATATAGATTTTGTTTCTCAACATCAAGATAGCTCATCAGACTCAAGGACATTTTGTACTGTGTTGTGCATATATATATATATATATATATATATATATATATATATACATATATCAATACAATGGTGTGAAGAGACCATCACAAGCTCACATATTGCACCTGGATTGATCCCGATAACAGCACAAGAAATTATTCATCATAATAAACAGCGCATTACGGTAATATCACGCATGGAGTCCCCTGCTCTCTGTCTTATGTACCTGACGGTATGGGGAGAGAGTAAAAGTAAGTAAGGGCAGAATCAGCTCTTCTTTGATACTGAAAGTCTTCATAAACAATCCAATTTTTCTATAATGTAACTTGTTGAAGTAGTCTCGTTTAAAAAAAATAATAAAATGACAATGGCTATTGAGGAAGGAGGTTCAATTCAAAGTCAGTGTTATTTATATATACAAGAGTGTTACGGTGCAACTACTTCACATTGTGTACCAAACTGACCTTTAAAGTCAAAGAACATGCCGGTTGAATGAGAAGTACATTCACTTAAACAGGGATGCCAAATATCAGGTTTTTACGGCTTTTTCAGTTGTTTTTTTTCTCCAAAAATCATTTAGCTTCCCTGAAGAAGACGGCCACTGACATAAGGTCCTTCTTCTCAAGACAGAAATAATATTATTGGAATTGATCCAACAAAGGCCCCCCATACACTTGCAAAGGAAAGGGGAGAGGTAGGAGAGATGTTTTTGTTTGCTCATTTAAAAACTTTCCAAGGTTCGCTTTAAGTGAGATGTGATTCTCCGCTCATTTTCTGGGTTTTTTTTTTCAAAAATCATTTGGCATCCCTGCTTGAATAATGAATGCTGCGTGCATGATCCTGATGTTATGGTAATGAATGTTACATGAAGTGTTTAAGATGTCTAGACTTTGTGCTTCAAATTCTTGTGTTTGAAGGTGTCTTCATTTTATTTCATGTAAAAAAAAAAAGGTGATGAAAAGAAAGGCATGTTGTTGAGCCAAGAATGAATGTAGTAAAAGTTTCTTTTTTCATACTTTTCCATTTGTGGTCTTGTTGTTTTGTTCCCGTTTAACATTTTTTTTTTTTTCAGGGAAAGTCTGATCCATAATATTTTTACTCTTAAATGGAAATGTGTCTATTTGAAGTGATCATTTCTCTCTTTGTCTCTCATGCTGCTGTTAAAAAAAAAATTATAGAAAAAGTGAGAAAAAACCACCGAATATTGTCTTGTTTTGTGTTTTCCACGCAAGTCGTTGGCTTGGTTATATTGCACTGATGCTCTTAAAAACTTCTGGTGATGGGGGTCACAGATTGGTTTTTTTTTCTTGCCTATTTCTTTCATTTATGTGGGGCAACGTGGTGAAATCATGCACTTGTCAAAATATTGAAATTGAAGAAACCAACATTTTTCCGCTGGTATGGCAATTGTTATCGGATTTTTTGTCTTTTGGGTCAACTCCTTTTATCTACATTAAAGAATATATTGCCCTGTGGGTTTTTATTGTAAAACGTAAATGAAAGACACAAAAAATGTAACTTCCCACTTTCCAAGGACTCTCAAATCTGATTGGAATTCACCAAATTTTTGCAGACATTTTCTTGCCAATTTTACCTCCAAAACCAAGCAACCCCCCACCCTTTTCAATCGCAAATACTGTATCTCAACTTCTATTCAAGATAGATGGGTATTTTTTTCATCGAAGGCAAGACAAAAGAACAAAGTTTAATGATGATAACATAATAACTCTACATTCCCCAAAACTGATGAGCGCCTGATTCCACCGTGTCCTGATACAATCTGCCCGACATCTACCAGTGTCTGGTGGGTGGTTGGCGGGTGCTCTGGTGTGGTTTGCTCCTTCTTTCCTGTCAAAAATCTGTCGTACTCATCTCATCTCACCTCCTTCTTTTTTGTGTTTGTTACTCTCTTGTAACACATAATTTAGATCTATTCTTCGGCACTTATATAACCTTATTGTGTTGCAAGTGCCGTAAAACTCTTACTAAAACTAAAAAAACTAAACTACCAGTGTCTGTGGGATATTAGTTAGGTGCTTTGCCATTGCACCTGGGAGACACAAGTTCAAATCCCGAGTGGGGAGAATTTTTATCAAGTGTCTTGGGCTTTCTGCTGGGATTAAATTATCCTTCAGTTCGGTCGAAGGTTTGAGGCCAGCTTCCTAAATAATCTAAACTTTGTCAATAGGGGCGTAAAAAACACCTATATGTGAGGCAGCGTGGTGAAATCAGGCTCTCATCAAAATAATCAAATTGAAGAAACTTGCACTTTTCCGCAGGTTTGTAAATTTTTATCAAATTTTTGTTTTAGGCTCAACACCTTTCATGG